TGCTGATTGTGTGACGCACATCCTTACAAGCCTCATTGATTGTATGATTACATTGCTCCCTCATCAAGTAATGATTAGTTGAGTCACCTTTATCAAGTTATACAAATGTGGATTAAAACAGAAATGTTTTGAAGTATCCTTTTATGGATAGTAGAAAAATATTCTTGTCGAAAATGCTTGTATATATTCCCTTTTTTAATTACAATATACACTATATTGCCAAAAATATTGGGACACCCCTCCAAATCATTGGATTCAGGTGTTGCAATCACCTCCATGGCCACAGGTGTATAAAATCAAGCACATCGGCATGCAGACTGCTTCTACAAACATTTATGAAAGAATGGGTTTCTCTCAGGAGCTCAGTGAATTCAGGCGTGGTACTGTGATTGCCATCTGTGCAATAAGTGTATCCGTGAAATTTCCTTGCTACTAAATATTCCACAGTCAACTGTTGGTATTATAACAAAGTGGAAGCAACTGGGAACAACAGTAATTCAGCCATGAAGTGGTAGGCCAAATGACAGAACAGGGTTCAGCACATGCTGAAGCGCACAGTGCGCAGACGTCGCCAACCGTCTGCAAAGGCAATAGCTAAAGACCTCCAAACTTTGCGTGGCCTTCAGATTAGCACAACAGTGCATAGAGAGCTTCATGGAATGGGTTTCCATGGCCAAGCAGCTGCATCTAAGCCTTACATCACCAAGTGCAATGCAAAGTGTCACATGCAGTGATGTAAAGCACACCGCCACTGGACTCTAGAGCATTGGAGACGTGTTCTCTGGAGTGATGAATCACGCTTCTCTGTCTGGCAATCTGATGGACATGTCTGGGTTTGACGGTTGTCTGGAGAACGGTACTTGCCTGACTGCATTTTGCCATGTGTACAGTTAGGTGGAGGGGGGATTATGGTGTGGGTTTGCTTTTCAGGGGTTAGGCTTGGCCCCTTAGTTCCAGTTAAGGGAACTCTTAAGGCATCAGCATACCAAGAAACTTTGGATAATTTCATGCTCCCAACTTTGTGAGAATAGTTTAGGGACGGCCCCTTCCTGTTCCAACATGACTGCACACCAGTGCACAAAGCAAGGTTCAAAAAGACATGGATGAGTGAGTTTGGGGTAGAGGAACTTGAGTGGCCTATACAGCGTCCTGACCTTAACACGATAGAACACCTTTGAGATGAATTAGAGTGAAGATTACGATCCAGGCCTTCTCGTCCGACATCAGTGCCTGACCTCACAAATGTTCTTCTGGAAGAATGGTCAAACATTCCCATAGACACACTCTTATACCTTGTGGACAGCTTTCCCCAGAAGAGTTGAAGCTGGTATAGCTGCAAAGGGTGGACCAAGTCAATACTGAGCCCTATGGAATAAGAGTGGTGTGTGTAAAGGCAGGCATCCCAATACCTTTGGAAATATAGTGTATTTTGGATTGATACCAATCTATAATAATGATTGCTTTCAATTTGAATAGTTTTTTTTCTCTGGCCGAAAATATGTGCAAGTACTATGCAAAATGCTTAAATATTAAAGCAGAGATATAGAAACACATGTGGATAATACACTTATATTGGTAACATGTATAAAAAGTTGCCTTAGATCACCACTATCAGCCCACAAACTTCCTATAGAAGTAATTACTATAAGGCAGCCTTTCACAACCTTTTCAACACAGAGAAACCCCTGAAATCACTTTCCGACCTCAGAGAACCCCTGCTAAAAATTAATATATGTACAACTCATGATGCATTAATGTGATGGACAGTGGAAAGAATACTCCACACACTTGTGGTCAGTGGGAAGACTTACCCCCTTACAGATAGCTGAAAATGTTAGTGGTGTCAGTGGGAACTTATCTGAGAAGCAGAATTTGCTCATTGCTCAAAGATCCCCTAGCAACCTCCTGAGAAACCCTAGGATTCCATGAAGCCCTGGTTGAGAAATCCTGCTATAAGGCATCAAAACGTTTTCAAAAAGCCTCTCAATAACCCTGTATGTTTATTAGACATGTATAATACAACAATAATTTCATATAGACAGTACAGGAAAAGCAAGACACATTTGAGTACCAGTGCCATGGTGGCAGGTAATCAGTAATCACTAATACAGCTAGCCCTCCCATGACTGAACTATTAAGACATTTAATATTGTTTTTCCTAACACTTCTGCCTCTCCATGGTCAAGTCCCAGCACATTTAAAATATTGCTCGGTTTCCTTTTTGTATTTTGTAATTTCCTGTTTTGGGGGTCGTCTCATTGTTGCCCATCTAGTGCACCTGTTGTTAATTTCATAACACCAAAGCAGCTGAAAATGATTAACAACCCATTCTGCTACTTAACTGACCAGATCAATATACCAGGAGCTTATACTCTGATTAAAAAATGTTCCTTTAATTTTTTTGAGTAGTGTGTGTATATGTATGTATATATATATATATATATATATATATATATGTCTTAAAAAATGTGGAAACTTTTTAAGAACCCTCATATAACGGCTAAATTGTGAATCTTGAACATGACTCCAGGCTAATCCATCTTTTCACCACAATTATTGAGCTGCGATAATAATATGTTTTAACCTGTTTTGTTGTGTTAAAGTATCGAGAAAGATTAATGGGCAGCAATGCTTCGGTGGGTGCACCTGTGCAGCCAAGTGCAGTAACATATATTATCACCAGTACTTACACGCATCTGTATACTCTTCAGAAAACATATCTGCATAGCTGTGTAAACCTATACTTACCTAAAGGGTGCCTAAGGTAACAATATAGCTAAAGTGCCTGAAAATATCTGTGCTGGTCTTTAATAATATCCTTGCAACCAAATCTCAGACTGTACAAGAGTGTTAGCAGTACCCCCCCCCCCCCCAAAAAAAAAAAAAAAGAAACCTTATATTTCTAACCCCAGCTGTCAGATTACAGAGTTCTCCTGAGATTCTGGCATTTGACAGTTGAGTGACAAGGAGTAGATCAGGTAAACTTTAACTGTGACTGACATTATTTCTATTGGACTCCATAAACTCTTTACAGAGGTGAAAATAATTATTTGATCCCCTGCAGATTTTGTAAGTTTGCCCTCTTTCAAAGAAATGAAGGGTCTATCATTTTTGTTATAGGTGTATTTTAAACGATAGAGACAGAATATCAACCAAAGATCCAGATAATAAACACATGATACAAATGTTATAAATTGAGTTGCAGTTCAGTGAGTAAAATAAGTACTTGATCCCCTACCAACCAACAATAATTCTGGCTCCCACAGATTGGCTATCTGCTCATGTGGTACACAGATTAGTCCTGTCAATTTAAGATGGTGCTCCTAATCACAGCTTGTTATGTGTATAAAAGACACCTATCCACAGAATCTCTTTCTTCCATTCAAACCTCACCATCATGGGCAAGACTAAAGAGCTGGCAAAGAACATCAGGGACAAGATTGTAGACCTGCACCAGGCTGGAATGGGCTACAAGACCATCAACAAGCAGCATAGTGAAAAGGAGACAACTGTTGGAGCAATTATTCGTAAATGGAAGAAATGCAAAATAACCATCAATCGCCCTTGGTCTGGAGATCCATGCAAGATTTCACCGCATGCGGTAAGGATGATCTTGAGAAAAGTGAGGGATCAGCCCAGAACTACATGGGAGGAGCTTGTGAGTGATCTCAAGGCAGTTGAGACCACAGTCACCAAACAAACCATTGGTAACACAATACGCCTCCATGGTTTGAAATCCTACAGCGCCCGCAAGGTCCCCCTCCTCAAGAAGGAACATGTACAGGCCTGTCTGAAGTTTTCCACTGAACATCTAAATGATTCAAGGAAGGATTGGGAGAAAGTGCTGTGATCAGATGAGACCAAAATTGAGCTCTTTGGCATTAACTCGACTCTCCGTGTTTGGAGGAAGAAAAATGCTGAATATGACCCTACAGTCAAGCACGGAGGTGGAAACATTATGCTTTGGGGCTGTTTCTCTGCTAAAGGTACAAGCCGACTTTGACGCATTGAGGAGCCAATGGACGGAGCCATATTTTGTAAATATTTCCTCAGCCATAATACAGAAGATGGTTTGTGGAAGGATCTTCCAGCATAACAGTGACCCAAAACATACCTCTAAGGCAACAAAGGAGTGCCTCAAGAAGAAGCACATTAAGGTCATGGAGTGGCCTAGCCAATCTCCAGACCTTAATCCTATAGAAAATTTATGGAGGGAGCTGAAACTTTGAGTTGCCAAGCAACAGCCAAAAACCTTAAGGATTTAGAGAAGATCTGAAAGAAGAGTGGAACAAAATCTCTCCTGAGATGTGTGCAAACCTGGTAACTAACTACAAGAAACGTCTGACCTCTGTGCTTGCCAACAAGGGTTTCTCCACCAAGTACTAAGTTAGGCTTTTTTTGGGGATCAAATATTTATTTTACTCACTGAACTGCAACTCAATTTATAACATTTGTATTGTGTTTATTATCTGGATTTTTGGTTGATATTCTGTCTATATCATTTAAAATACATCAAATATAAAAATTATAGACCCTTCATTTCTTTGTAAGTGGGCAAACGTACAAAATCTGCAGGGTATCAAATAATTATTTTCCCCACTGTACATTAATAGAAAGAAGGACATCAATCACATAATAATGCATCCAGACTCTTTTCTGCATTCAGGTATTGCACTGAAGGATTTCTGTACATTATTCATAAACTTCTCTACATTTCAGTGAAAAAGGTTCACTAAATTTTAAACAGTAAAAATAATGTTGCTGTTCACAACAGTGAAAGCTATTTTAGGACAACTTTTTCATTCTTTTCAACCAAAGGTTTGTTTTCTATGTCTATCTTTGTGATCTTTCTTTAGAATTTGTTAATTTTTGTGCCTTAAATAGTTTTTCTTTTTACAGGAAATTGGACTGGTACAGTTTGTCACTTTTGATGCTAAAATCTTTTTAAAACAACAGATCCATTATGCGTTCCTTTATGTTGCCTTTTGTTTCCTTTACAGTCTATTGACCCAGGACAACAATTCACATGGGAACACTCTAACCTGGAAGTTAATAAACCAAAGAACAGATATGCAAATGTAATTGCATATGATCACTCACGTGTTCTGCTTTCAGCTATTGAAGGTAAGGTAATGCTTCTTTCCTCAGTAAACTGCAGTATTAACTTGTTATCATTTAACAAACAGCTGCTTTGCAATGTTCAGTTAGTCATTCTATCAAGATTTGCATTTTATGTTGTGTGTGTCTACATGCTGAGCTGGTGGTTAAACCGCTAGCCTTAGGTAACACAAAGAGGATGCCTAAGGAGTTTGGAACTCTGTCAAACCCATCACTGTGACTTAAAGCAGGACTTTAGAAATGCTGAATGTATTGTTCTATTAGAAATGAATGGATTTAATTCACTTCATCAGTTGCTAATAAGCTAATCAGTGGCTGGTGAGTTCTTATATAATTTTTGATCTTGGCAACATTAAACAGAAATAGCCATGGGGGGAGATTTACTAAAACTCAGAATCTTCTGCAGCTGTGCCAATCAGCTTCTAAGTTCAGCTTGTTCAATTAAGCTATGTCAATAAAATCTGGAAGCTGATTGGTTTCTATGCAGAGTTGCACCAGATTTTGCACTCTCCAGTTTTAGTAAATAACCCCTTTGCCTTTTAGCTTTTGCTACAGTCAACTGTGTGCGCTGCAAGTTAAGATCTTGTGGTGGGGAAATGCAAAGTGACAGAAGTGTATTGAGTTACACAAACCTATCACTTTACAAAGATTATTATTATAGAGGTGAAAGAAGTGGAAAAATCTGACTATTAACTGAGATTGCTGAATTTTATACCATAGCTCCAACTCTGAATACATCGTATTCAAGTACATATTTTGTCTGATTATCATTTTACCAGCAATATACATTTAAGCATATCTATACTGAAAAAACATGATATGTTGCAGAATATCAATCCAGAAATGTGGAATCTACATTGGTTTATTTTTTCAGTTTTATTTTCATTTACATTCACCTGGTACTCCTCAGAGTAACATGCTTTCTGGCCTATGTTGGCCATACTTACAGTTGCAAGAAAAAGTATGTGAACCCCTTGGGATTACGTGGAGGTTTGCATGAATTGGGCATAAAAATGTGCTCTGAACGTCATCTAAGTCACAACAATAAAAGAACACAGTCTGCTGAACATAATACTACACAAACATTAGATGTTGCCATGGTTTAATTGCACATAACATGTAAACATTCACAGTGCAGGGAGGAAAAAGTATGTGAACCTTTGGATTTAATAACTGGTTGACCCTCCTTTGGCAGCAATAACCTCAACCAACAAACGTTTCCTGTAGTTGCAGATCAGACCTGCACAACGATCTGGAGTAATTTTGGACCACTCCTCTTCACAAAACTGTTTTAGTGTAGCAATATTCTTGGGATGTCTGGTGTGAATCGCTCTCTTACGGTCATGCCACAGCATTTCAATCGGGTTGAGGTCAGGACTCTGACTGGGCCACTCCAGAAGGTGTATTCTGTGCTGTTGCAGCCATTGTTTTGTTGCTTACTTGTATGCTTTGGGTCATTGTCCTGTTGCATCACCCATCCTCTGCGGAGCTTCAGTTGGCGGACAGATGGTCGTACGTTTTCCTGCAAAATGTCTTGATAAACTCTGGAATTCATTTTCCCATCAATGACAACAATCTGTCCAGGCCCTGAGGCAGCAAAGCAGCCCCAAACCATGATGCTCCCTCCGCCATGTTTTACAGTGGGGATGAGGTTTTGATATTGGTGTGCTGTGCCTTTTTTTCTGCACACATAGAATTGTGTGTTCTTCCCAAACAACTCAATCTTGGTTTCATCTGTCCACAGTATATTTTGCCAGTAGTGCTGTGGAACATCCAGGTGCTCTTTTGCAAACTTCAAACGTGCTGCAATATTCTTTTTGGACAGCAATGGCTTCCTCCGTGGTGTCCTCCCATGTACTCCATTCTTGTTTAATGGTTTCCTTATTGTAGATGTGTCAACAAAAATGTTAGCATGTGCCAGAGATTTCTGTAGGTCTTTTGCAGGCCATAGATGGGGAGAAAAAAAACTGCAGATTTTTCTTTTAAAAAACGAAAAATCGGTTGTTCAAGTGGCCGACGTTACCATCAATGGTAAAAAGAATCGGCCGATTTTCTACCCGTCTAGAGCCGGCAAAAAGTGTCCCTGCAGAGAGCTCTGCTATTTCTTTGACAGTTCTCTGACAGTTCCTTGACATTTATAGAAGTTGCAACAATGTATCTATTTGTTTCCATTTAGGATACAGATGTTTTTATTCGGAAACAAATAGATACAATGTTTCAACCGCTGTAAATGTCAAGGAACTGTCAGAGAACTGTCAGAAATAGCGGAGCTCTCTGCAGAGACACTTTTTGCTGGACTGGAATTCTTCTTATTTTCATCCTACTTCTTCTTCTTCTTCTTCATCCTCATCCTCTTCTTCTTCTTCTTCATCCTCATCCTCTTCTTCTTCTTCTTCTTCTTCTTCTTCTTCATCCTCATCCTCTTCTTCATCCTCATCCTCTTCTTCTTCATCCTCTTCTTCATCCTCATCCTCTTCTTCTTCATCATCCTCATCCTCTTCTTCTTCATCCTCATCCTCTTCTTCTTCTGCATCCTCATCCTCTTCTTCTTCTGCATCCTCATCCTCTTCTTCTGCATCCTCATCCTCTTCTTCTTCATCATCATCCTCATCCTCCTCTTCTTCTTCTTCTTCATCCTCATCCTCTTCTTCATCCTCATCCTCTTCTTCTTCTTCATCATCATCATCCTCTTCTTCTTCTTTCTTCTTCTTCTTCTTCTTCCTCATCCTCATCCTCTTCTTCATCCTCATCCTCTTCTTCATCCTCATCCTCTTCTTCTTCCTCTTCTTCTTCTTCATCCTCTTCTTCATCGTCTTCCTCTTCTTCTTTTTCTTCTTTTTGTCTTCCTCTTGCAGGTCACTGCTCATGCGCAGATTTTTTTATCGGTAAAAAATCGGCCGATTTGCCCACTAATTGCCGCGAAAATCGGCCGATCGGCAAAATCGGCCGATTTTTTTCCAACTTTACCGAAAAAAAAAACGGCCAAAATACCGAAAAACGGCCGACCAAATCGCCCACTAACGATCCGAAAATCGGCCGATTTTATTTTCGGCCGAAAAATCGGCCGATTTTCGACCCATCTATGGCCTGCATTTAGCTGACACTCTGGGATTCTTCTTTACCTCATGCAACATTCTGCGCTGTGCTCTTGCAGTCATTTTTACAGGACGACCATGCCTAGGGAGAGTAGCAACAGTGCTAAACTTTCTCCATTTGTAGACAGTCTGTCTTACCGTGGACACATGAACATCAAGGCTTTTGGAGATACTTTTGTAACCCTTTCCAGCTTCATGCAAGTCAACAATTCTTGATCGTAGGTCTTCTGAGAGCTCTTTTCTGCGAGGCATGGTTCACATCAGACAGTGCATCTTGAAACCAGTACACCCAAAACAGGTGTGTGTTTTTTAAGGGCAGGACAGCTGTCAGCAACACATCCAATATCATCACACTGATTGGAGTCAAGGTTGGCTCACTCCTGGCTCCAATTAGCTCTGGGAGAAGTCATTAAGCTAGGGCCTCACATACTTTTTCCTCCCTGCACTGTGAATGTTTACATGTTATGTGCAATTAAACCATGGTAACATCTAATGTTTGTGTAGTATTATGTTCAGCAGACTGTGTTCTTCTATTGTTGTGACTTAGATGACGTTCAGAGCACATTTTATGCCCAATTCATGCAAAACTCCACGTAATCCCAAGGGGTTCACATACTTTTTCTTGCAACTGTACCTAACTATCTGTGAAGGGAGCAATGATAGTATCTGTAGGAGAGAACTACAAACACACCTTCTTCTCTACAACTTCATTATGTGGGGGCAGGACAATTACAAACTTGCAGTTGCTTGGGAGGAAGATAACATTGATATACCAGTTCAATTCACTAGACGTTACAAGGACATAAGCTTAGGTTCACATATGTGCGGATCAGGAACACATGCATAATCATGCGCATTCCTGAATCACACAGAAATGTGCTGCTCTTTAGCAGACACAGGGGAGTGTCATTAATTCCTAATGGCACCCCCACTCATCAGCACCCTCGCACCATGTGGTTCTATATGGAGGGCTTTTAAAAAAGTGTCAGGGACTGGTAAGCTACTATATATACGTTTTAGTTCTTTGCTTTCAATATTCTTTAAATGGGCCTCTGTAAGACAAATGTGCGGGTAATTAGTAGGGAGCAAAAAAAAAAAAGCCTGCGATAGAACAATTACACATAGGGCTATAGTTTCTGACATTGTCAGTCTATATGATGGTCATGCTTTAGTATGCTGCATTTGATCTGTAATGGAAGCAGCACAGGGTATAATTCTACAGTATTAAAGTAAGAATATACTGTTTACTAACTCATCTATTCACCTTAGAGATCTGTTATTTGCCTCTCCTTGCACTAGACACAAAGCTAATGTGATAAATTGATAACTACATTTCCTTGTATGCAACAGGAACTCTTTACCTAGTCATGACAAAATGTTTTCAATTCAATTAAGTGTTTTCAATTCAGTTAACTGTTGCTTTAAGTACAATATCTGAAGATGTTTGAGACAGGTCATTGTTGTATGGAAGATATAAAATCTAGAGATGTTATATTGCCCAAAATCACTGCACACAAAGTATTAGTTTGTCTCCTGCATACTATGTAGTGACTGTCTATAATGTAGGATTCTTTTCCATATTATTTGCCCACACTTGCTTGCCATCTTGTCCTTGCTCCACGGGTAACCCTTTTTTCTAAATAAAACACATCCTAACAAACAACACCAAATATGCTTTTAGCAATGGGTAGTTGCAAATATCCATTCACACAACATATCCCTAATATATACTTTTGTGGATGATGTTATGAAGAACAGTTTAGCACCTTGGGGGAAAAAGTATTGCAATGTGTCCAGCAGGGAACAGTGCAAATTGAGTTACACATAATAAAACAAGTCAAGAAGCTACTTGTTTTGCTCCAAAGATATTTCCATATATTTTGAGATTATAATGGAGTAAAGAATCTGTTT